TGCAAATTAGGTAATCTTCATGTTCCACGAGCTATGCTAGACCTTGGAGCTTCTATCAATGTTTTGCCATATTCCATCTTTAAAACATTAAATATTGGCACATTGAAGAAGACCGGGGTAATCATTCAATTGGCTGATAGATCTTTAGTACATCCCAAAGGTGTGTTAGAAGATGTGTTAGTCCAAGTGAATGAACTAGTATTTCCAGCAAATTTTTATGTACTTGATATGGATGATGATGATTCACCGAATTTGAGTTCAATTCTCCTAGGAAGACCCTTTTTGAAAATAGCCAGGACGAAAATTGATGTTTATGATGGTACATTGTCCATGGAATTTGATGGGGAGGTGATAAATTTCAATATTTATGATGCTATGAGATATCCAAGTGATATTTCATCTTTGAATTTTGTGGATGTCATTGAACCATTGACAGAGGAGTGTTTTGATCTGTCTAATCTTGATGTGTTAGCTCTTATTTTAGACAGGAATCTTCAAAAGGAAAGAGTGGAAAAACTTGCCAATCAATTTACAATTGATAAAGAGATTATGGAGGCACCAGAATTGGAGCTAAAAACTTTACCCGAGCATCTCAAGTATGCATATCTTGGAGATAAGGAAACTCTACCAGTGATCATTTCCACCAAGTTGTCAACAAAAGAAGAGGAAGAACTTGTCACCACCTTGAAGGAATATAAGGAAGCAATTGGGTGGACTATAGCCGACATCAAAGGGCTAAGTCCTTTGCTTTGCATGCATAAAATCCTTATGGAAGAAGATTACAAGCCTTCCCGAGAAGCTCAAAGGCGTCTGAATCCTCCAATGATGGAGGTTGTGAAAAAAGAGATTTTGAAGTTGTTGAATGCGGGAATGATTTACCCTATATCAGATAGTAAGTGGGTAAGTCCGGTCCAAGTCGTGCCGAAGAAGACAGGTATTACCGTTACAAAGAATGACAAGGTGAGTTAGTCCCCACCCGTGTGCAAAACGGGTGGAGAGTTTGCATTGATTATAGACGGCTCAATTCCTCAACCCGGAAAGACCATTTCCCACTTCCCTTCATTGATCAAATGTTGGAAAGGTTAGCGGGAAAAACACATTATTGTTGCTTGGATGGATATTCCGGTTTCCATCAAATACCTGTTGCACCTGAGGACCAAGAAAAAACTACTTTCACATGTCCTTTCGGAACATTTGCATATAGACGAATGCCTTTTGGGCTTTGCAATGCTCCAGCCACTTTTCAAAGGTGCATGGTAAGTATTTTTTCGGAATTTGTTGAGGAAATCATTGAAGTTTTTATGGATGACTTCACATGTTTATGGTAATTCTTTTCATGAATGTTTGGGAAATTTGAAAAAGATTTTGCAAAGATGTATTGAAACCAATCTTGTTTTGAATTATGAAAAGTGTCACTTTATGGTTGACAAAGGTCTCATACTAGGTCATATTGTGTCTTCTAAGGGTCTAGAAGTGGACAAAGCAAAAATAGATGTCATAAAATCTTTACCTTATCCCACTTGTGTTCGTGAGGTGCGCTCATTTCTTGGTCATGCAGGATTTTATAGAAGGTTTATTAAAGATTTTTCCAAGATATCTCGTCCCATGTGTGAGCTCCTACAAAAAGATGCAGAATTCGAGTTTTCCAAATAGTGCAAGCAAGCTTTTGATCAGTTGAAAGAGTTGTTGATCACAGCACCAATACTTCAATCACCGGATTGGAGTTTGCCTTTTAAAATCATGTGTGATGCCTGTAATCACGCAGTTGGTGCAGTGTTAGGGCAAAGAAAAGACCGTGTTCCTAATGTCATTTATTATGCTTCAAAAACACTTGATAGTGCACAAGCCAATTATTCAACAACTGAAAAAGAATTGTTATCTATTGTCTTTGCTTTAGACAAATTTCGTCAATATCTGCTAGGTTCTAAAGTCATTGTTTATTCTGATCATGCAGCTATTAGGTATTTACTTGCAAAGAAAGATTCGAAGCCTAGACTCATTCGATGGGTATTACTCTTGCAAGAGTTTGACATTGAAATCAAAGACAAGAGCGGAAAGTCAAATCTTGTAGCTGATCATCTTAGCAGGATTGTTTCTCCCGAAGATTCAACTCCCATTCATGATGCATTTCCCGATGAAAATCTGTTTTCAGCAAAAGTTGCCCCGTGGTATGCCGATATTGTGAACTACATTGTCACAAATCAATTTCCACCAGATTTAACTTGATGGCAAAAAGACAAGATCAAGAAAGAAGCCAAGAGGTATGTTTGGGATGAGCCATATTTGTGGAAATATTATGCTGACCAAATGATTAGACGATGTGTGGATCAATATGAGGTATCTTCTATCTTAACATTTTGTCATTCTTATGCTTGTGGAGGACATTTTGGTCCTCAAAGGACTGCAAGAATAGTTTTAGAGAGTGGATTTTACTGGCCAAGTATTTTCCATGACTCTTATGTTTTTTGCTCAAGCTGTGATAAATGTCAACGAATGGGCTCTTTAAGCTCAAAGAATCAAATGCCCTTAAACCCCATATTAGTTTGTGAAAATTTTGATGTTTGGGGCATTGATTTTATGGGACCTTTTCCATCATCTTCGGGTTTTATTTATATTCTTTTGGCTGTGGACTATGTTTCCAAGTGGGTGGAAGCAAAGGCTACCCGTACTAACGATTCAAAAGTTGTGATAGATTTCTTGAAGGCTAACATTTTTTCCAGATTTGGTGTTCCAAAGGCCTTGATCAGTGATCGTGGTACACATTTTTGTAATCGTATACTCGGGAGTGTTTTGAAGAAATATGGTGTCACTCATAAAGTTTCCACAGCATACCACCCACAAACAAATGGACAAGCTGAGGTGAGCAATCGACAAATCAAGGGCATTTTGGAGAAAACTGTGAATACAACAAGGAAAGATTGGAGTACACGCCTTGATGATGCTTTGTGGGCGTACCGCACTGCATACAAAACTCCAATTGGAATGTTGCCATACCGTATTGTTTTTGGAAAGCCGTGTCGATTACCCGTTGAGTTGGAACATAGGGCATATTGGGAAATCAAGCAGTTCAACATGGATTTAAGTGAATCGGGAAAGAAGAGGAAGCTGGACATACAAGAATTGGAAGAAATCCGCAATGAAGCGTATGAGAATGAGGTTCTTTATAAGGAAATGACCAGAGCATTCCATGACAAGATGATTACACGCAAGGTATTTCACAAAGGTCAAAAGGTACTACTTTACCATTCACGTTTTAAATTGATTCCTGGTAAATTAAGGTCTCGTTGGGTGGGACCATTTGTTGTCACTAATGTTTTTGAGCATGGTGCAATAGAAATCACAAGTGAGAAAACCGGGAAGATTTTTAAGGTAAATGGTCACCGTTTGAAGCCTTATTATGAAGGATTTCAAGTCAAGAATGAAGAGGTGGAGGAAGTAATGGATCCAAAGTATGAAAATTGACAAATAGTTGGGATCCAAGTCGAGCCAACGACATGAAAAAGGGGCGGCTAACCGGGAGGCAACCCGGGGGTATTTTTGTCATTTAGTATATTTTCATTGTATTTTCTTTGTTTTCAAACTTCCAAGTTGTTTTTCATGCTAAAAAAGGGTTAAAAATCATTTTTCGGGCAGTAGAGGTTTAGCGGGTTGCAATTTCAAAAAGTGAAAAAAATCAAGTTTTTGGCTTTCTCAGAAGTTTACACGGCCGTGTAAACTTATGCCTTGCATTTACACGGGCCGTGTAAACGATTGAACACGGGTTTAATGATTCAGGGATTTACACGGCCGTGTAAACCCTCCCCTTTGATTTACACGGGCCGTGTAAACGCAAAAACAGGGCTGAACGATTTTAAGGTCAAATCTCGATTTTTCTAACTCATTCTTCACTCAATACCTGCGATTCCCTCTCTCCCTACTGCCCCCTTCGAAAAAACCCTTCCAAATACTCAATCTTCCTCAATTTTGCATCAAAAATCAAGCTCCAAGGTATGAAATTCCTCCCTTTTCTTCATCTTCTTTATCTTCCACATCTATATCCTTCTCCCATGGCCGATTTTGGGTTTTTTTAACAAAACCCTAGAATTTTTGAACTTGAAATCTCAACCTAATGTTTCAAATTTCTTGTAGGATAAGCTTGGGGATAGCTTGGGGAAGCATTGGATATCATCTTATCACCATTATCAAGCACAAATTGGTATAATTGTTCCAAACTCTTACTTTGTGCATTTAGATAGAACACATTGGTGAAACTTGCTAGTTCTTGTGCTTCAATTGTCTTAATTGTGTGCAATATTTTGTTGATTCATTTGGGTTATGGCTTCCCGGGGTAAAAGACATAGAGTTGGCACCTCACATGATGAGCAAGACCCACATGCCATAGACAACCCCTATGAATTTGCTCTTATTTTTGAGAACAATCGACAGGAAATCTTGTATGCAAATCTTGTTACAAGAACAATGGGTGCTCAAAAATTTGTGGACATCCAGGCCCTCAAAGATTTACACATATACAAGGGTGTTCACAAGCTTTTTAAAAACATAGGATGGGAGGGTCTTTTGAATCTTCATGCAGTTAGTTACCAAACACCGATGTTGGAACTTTTGTCTTCCATTTCCTTTGACTATCAAACCCATCTCCTAACTTTTCATCTGCTCAACCAAACACATCAATTTCATGCTGATATCCTTTGTGATATGATTGGTGCTCCTAAAGCAAGAAGGGATATATACACACTAAGGGTAGAAAAAATGTTGTTTTTGAGCAAGACTGTGCAAATTTTTGGAGAAACATCTCTTGTGAGTATGAGTATCAATCAGGCACTGCCAAAGCTTCTAGCATTATCCATCCGGTCTTAAAAGTAGCTTACTGGATCATTGCTTCTCTCTTATTCCCTCAAGAAGAGATTAGCAAGGCTAATAAAAAAGAGCTAGAAGTCTTGTGGTGTATGATTAACAAGCCTGCAGAAGTCCCTCATTTTGGTTGTTGGGTTATTCAAAAAATGCTCAGAAGTGCTACGAGCAATGGTGGACAGCTACATTGTGGAGGCATGGTTTCTATTATTGTAGAGCATCTTGGCCTCCATCTACCTAATAACCCAACAAACATCATCATGGGCCGTACTCGTCTATCAATTGATGTTATGGAAACAATGCATCTCTTCCACCGCCTTCCCACTGGGGATATTCATTGGACAGTAGATGGGAAAGAGTATCTACGTATAGACAGCAGAAATAAGAAGATACTCAATTTAGCCAATGATATTCCATCAACTAATTGGAAACTCAGATCCAACTTAGGTGTTACAGTAGATCATAGTCCTCCATCCTCTCCTCCTCCTGCTCCTACTTCTGGTGCTTCTAGTTCCTCTCGCCCTATTCCTTTTTCTGAACATAATCTTTATATGGGCGAGTTTGCGCGTTTGAATCATCGTTACACCAGTCTACAACAGGAAGTCGGGGACATTTATACGGGTGTCGCTGAAATCACTTCTGATTTTCAGGACTACCGTAACTTACAGGAAGAGCATTGGGCCCAACAAGAGTTGCGGTGGGCTGAGCAAGATCAAAGATGGGCTACTCAAGAGCAGCACAACCGCAACATTCACCATCTGCTGAGTGATATCCATAGAGTTCTTGTGCTCCCCACACAGTCGCAGCAGCCATCAGCATCCCAACCCTAATGGCCTCCCTACTATCCTACAGATTACCCTTCACAGTTCCCTCCATATCCTCCGCCCGGTCCTCAATAGGACGGCTACGCCTCTCTCCAAGCATCGAGGACGATGCTATACTTTAAGCTTGGGGAGGGGTATCCATCCATGCATATCCCGTTGCATATAGGTTGCATGTAATTTTGTACATATTGCATTAATTTTCATTTCATTTTCTTTTTCATTTTTTCTGCATGGAAAATTTTTCATAAACCAAAAAGATTTTCTTTCTATTCTAATTTTTATTATTTTCTTTGCATCCAAATTTTTGCATAAAAAAAAAAAACGATCCAATCCCAAGCAACCGAATCTTTTCAAAACAGTTGAGCATGTAAATGAGTCATGTGCCTTGAAATTGGCTTGCTCTTCTTATTGAAAAAAATCTAAAAGCAAGTTAATCACACACGAGCACATCTCCCGAAGCTACTTGTGCAAAACAGAAAATGAGAAGATTGTCAACACTGAAGCATAACAGCAGGTATGAGTTAATTCTTTGGGACATATGACCGGCCTTATGAGTAGTAATGCTCAATTGCACTTAAAATTTCAAATTCAAAAGTTCATAAAAAGAATGCAAAATCTCAATGTCCCGCCTTCCAGCGCTCTTAAAAGTTCTTTCTACTTATTCCCTTTTATATATACCCTGCTTGAGGACATAGCTTTCAACTATACTTACGGGTTTTTGCATGTTAACATTTAGTCCCCCGAAAAATATCTTAGAAGTCCTCACGGTAATAGACCGTGATATGTCCCACAATAGAAAAGTCAAGGACGGAAATATAAGGAAATTGGCCAAATAAATAAATTAATAAGAGTGCTATGTGTTAACTTAGTTATTTGTATATGTGTTATATTTAAAAAAAAAACTATTATTAAGTTAATCTGTGACCTTTGGGATTCGAACAAGTAAACTCTGAGGGGGTGTTCTACACCTAATCACCTAAAGCTAAATTGTTTGGGATTGATTGGGTTGAAAGTTCGCTATACGGGTTCCATAGAAAGTCATGAACTTAATAATAGTAAATAAAGCTAATCTGTGGCCTTTGAGGTTCGGGCAAGTAAACCCGAGGGATCTCTTTAAATCTAGCACACTAAGGTCATTTGATTTGGATGTGTTGGTTGAAAGCCTGCTACACGGATTTCAAAGAAAGCCATGAGCTTTATTTATAAAAAAAAATGTAATTAGAAAGTTTGTACATAGTTGTGTTTATAGTTTAATTAGATGTTGTGTTTAGGAAAAATAAATGGCTGTCAAAAGATTCCATTGGACTTGGATTTGAATTTATGACATTGGACTGAATGTTAATTACTTCGACTGGTGTAAGTGGTTTGAAGTTTGTAACCAATCTAGATAAATATTAGGGAATTTTTAGAAAAGATTTTTCAGAAAAAGATTGTTGTTGACCAACAAATAGCTGGAATCGAACATTGTTATATTTTATGAAACAAAGATGTTTGAGCATGTTTTGTTACATATAATTTCACGAGAGTAAGACCATAATTTGTTCCAAGAATTGACTTGATAATATTGAAAAGGAATAAGTGTTGTGATCTTTAATTCTGTTGAGTTGTACTAGGGAGTAGCCAAAGTCTTGTTTCTATTATCATTTAATATTTTGAGACTAAAGCAAAGTTAACTCGAGGCATGACAGGTACATTCTCAACTATGGTACAAAACAGGGTAATTGGGTTGGATCTTTTCATGTTTGTTTTGATTTCATGCATTAAGTTATAAATAGTTTTAACTTTAATTTTCTTTTCTTCTATTCTATTTTTTTTTTCTTTTCAGTTTAAATCTTCTTGTTCTTTCTTGAGGACAAGAAAGGTTAAGCTTGGGGAGATTTGTTAGGTGCATTTCATGCATTCATTTTTTATAGTTTTAGTTCATAAAAGTGCATTACATTTAGGTTTAGACTCATGCATTTTGTATAATTTCGGGATTTTTCATGATGCAATTCCATTCACACGCTTTTAGGATATTTCAGGGACTTATGAAGGTTGGATCTTGTTGGAGGAAGTTATCAAGAGTTGGAGACAAAGTTGTAGAAGTTTTGGAGCTTTGAAGAGAGAGAATGAAGAAATGAAGAATTTGGCTTCACAGGAGTTTACACGGCCGTGTAAATTTATGCCTTTGATTTACACGGGCCGTGTAAACGTATATGCAAGGACATTCTACTTCGAAGACCTGGAAGAATTAAGCATTCTACTTTTCTTGTTTACACGGCCGTGTAAATGGAACCCTTTGATTTACACGGGCCGTGTAAACGTCTCGACAGTTTTAAAGTGGTTTTGTCTTCTTATAATTCAGACAATCAGTTTTTATGGGAGTTAGGTCGGATTTTGGGAGGAGAAGAACGATTTTCAGAGCTTTGGCAAGTAGATTAACACTTGGAAAACACTTTAATTTCTTTTTGTAAGTCAATTTGAAGTTTAAACTTGTTTGATTTGTAGTCCAACCTAGATATGTGTGGTTGATTTTATTATCATTTCCGAATCTGAATTCTTAAGTATGTGTTGTTAGGCTGTAACTTGAATTTGACTTATGTTTAACATCTAGTAATCTTTGATTTGATCTTAATCATGTGTTTGGTTAGTTCTCTTTTTCACTTGATCAATGAACTAGGGTTCTATTCAATCTAGTTAATCAAATCATGAAATTCGTATATGTTTTATGATTTGATGTTAGTAACACTCACTTACTTGGTTGTAATTAGATCAAAATTAGTGCAATCAAAGATTAAATGTTTATATTCCCAAGCTTAAGAGGAATGTTAAACATTGTTGGTAATTAGTGCAAGAACCTAATGTCATTTAATGATTTAATGTAAGAGCTTATTTGGGTTGAATCAAATAAATGAAATTTTATTTAAAGAGCTTATTTTGAATAAAATACTTTTGCTAATTTGGATATTAGAGTTTATTAATATCCAACTTACCAACCTAGATTGAACATGAGTTATAATCATATTACATCTTTCAACATAATACATATATAAGAGTCAGAATCGGAAATGTATTTCTTTTACTGCGTTTGTTTTCAATCTTTCTTATTTATGAAGTTTAATTCAAGTTTAAATACAAACCCCCAATTATGTGTGAAAATATGGCAAGATAAAAAGTCCCGTATCTCTGTGGACCGACCCTGCTTACTCTATACTATCTTTAGTATTAGAAAAGGCAGTGATTTGAGTTATATTAATATTATTTTATCCCATCATTTGTTGGTTTGACATCCAAACACACTTATAAGGATTTTAAGACCTGTGAGGGTACGCCCCACATATTGAGTCAACCACCCTGATGGTGGTCAATTCAAGGTGGACTATGCCCAACGTACCGAAGGGGTAAGCCCCGCGTACGCCCTCTGTTTGGGTTTCAGACTTTGGGCTTTGGATATTGGGCCATCTGTTGGGCTTTGATAATTGGGCCCTAATGGACTATCTGGATAAGTGTGATTTGGGCTAATTAGAGGATCAGACCTTTGGATAAGGCCCAATAAGGGGTTTTGGGCCTAATTTGGAAAATTAGGCCAATCATGGGCCTTGAGGTAATTTGGGCCTTTTAGATCAAAGATTTGGACTTGGGCCTTTACCCAGTTAGGGAAGGGGTAAAATGGACATTTACCCCAAGTATGGATCCTTAGTCAAGAATGGTATTCCAATTATTAATTGGATGTTTGTTTATTCTATAGTTCGGGATTTTCTGTGAGTCATCAGTCGAAGGCTTTCTGCGTGATTCGTCAGTGTGAGGTGAGTGTTCCTCACTATACTTGTTGGGTCGAAGGCACCAAGGTCGACCCTTTTGGATTGATTATCCTGTTTATTGCATGATTGAGTATTATAGTGATCTGTTAGATATGTATCTTGCTAGATAGGATAATGCTATGCTTATTGATCTTTAAGATCTGTCTGTTTGTCTGTTGATTAGTTATATGTTTATGAGTTGTGTGTATGTTGACTAGACCTGGCAAACGTGTCGGGTCATGTTGGGTTCGTGTCGTGTCAAGACATTAAACGGGTTGAAAGGGTTTGACCCTAACTCGAACCGTTTAATTATCGTGTCGTGCCGTGTCAACCCGTTTATTTTCATGTCGGTTTCGTGTCAGGTTTCAGGTTAAGGTTTAGACCTTGTAAATATGTTGTGTCATGTTGGGTTGAAATATTTTAAAGGTTGGAAAGTAGGAGTTGTGGAGGCAAAATGAAAAAGTGAAACACTAGAGTTGTGAGATGGAATGTCAAAATTTATAGTAAGTTTAAAAGGAAAAATGAAAAGAGTTAAAGTTGGGGAGCAAAGGGATAGGTGGTGAGGATGTCTAAAATTAAGTAACTTTGAAAATTTCAACATTACTTCTAATTCTTGAGTTTGGTCCACTATAATTCTTTAACATATAATATATTTATAAAAATATGAAATTTATAATAAGTAATATATAATTAAATGGGTCATATTCGAGTCATCTTCGAGTTGAAAGTCTTGACCCTAACCTTACCCGTTTAATTATCGTGTTGTGTCGTGCCCACCCGTTTACATAAATGTGTCGAAATCTCTGACCCTTACCTGCTAATTTCGTGTCGGGTTTTTGTGTCGTGTCATGTTTTGCCAGGTCTAATGTTGGCATGTATGTGTGATTGAGTTGAGGAGGTCCTGCTTTGTGCTGAAGGCCAACAAACCTAGGGCTGCCCGAATAGACTGAAGGCCTGTGAGGTGGACCTGAAAGCTCGGAGAACGGTCCAGACAGGCTGAAGGCCCGGTGCGGCGGTCCAGACATGCTGAAGGTTTTATATGCATGTTGTTGTTGTGATATCTATGATTATGTTTTGTGGTGGTCTTTTGGGGAAACTCACTATGCTTTAGGTTTACAGTTTTTGGTTATGTTTCAGGTATCTCAGAGGATCGTAGAAAGGCGAAGGTGTGATCATGTACAGGGCCGACCCAAGGGGCGGGTGAGCTGGGCCATGGCCCAAGGCATC